GAATGGGTGCCACCCATACAGCCAGCTACTGCCACTTCTGTGAAGACTGACTGACCACTCCCCACCAAAGGAGCTGCGTTCACCCCTTCAGTGTGGTTGGAACCATCCAGAAGGCTACCAGAAGCAGCAGAGCCAAACCACGTGCACCAAGTGAAGTGGAGCTCGGGGCTTAGAGCACAGAGGTGCCGTCCACAGCAGTGTGACCTTAGTCTCAGCCCTGAGCCTCTCTGTCTCGCTCTTCACCTGTGAAGGGAGTCTTCAGGCTGTCCTTTGGGTTCGGTAGGCTGGTGAGAGGCAACATATGCCAAGCACTTGGCTCTCTGACAGACTCGGGAAATGGGAGCTCCTATTCATAAGTACAGAAGCAAGAAGCCAAAACAGCCAGGGACAGAGAAATTGAGAGGGGCTGATGGCTGGGGTCAGTATCTGCCAACCGGAAATAGCCAGATTAGAAGAGATCCCTCTTGGTAAATGCCAGGCCCTTCCATTATCTTTGATCAGTTGGGTGTATTAGCTCTGCCCGGCCAGGGAGCCTAGGACCTGAATGACTTCCTTTGAAAGACTCCAAATGTGAAAAAAAAAAGAACTATTTCAGAGTACTTTTTCTCTGTTTGGGGGTGAAAGAAACTCATTTTTAAAAACAAAACAACCTTCATTATATGAGGGAGAATGTGGAATAAACTCCACATCAACAGGAAGCTCAGATATGTGGATTTATTTGTTCATGTTAAAAAGGCAATTTTGTAAACAGTACTTCTGAGGTTTGGCTTTGCTCTACTGCTCACAAAATATTAAGGTCTGTCACTTGAGCAAGGCAAACAGTCCCAGCACCCGGGAACTTCCAGACACTGGTCTGGGGGTGTTTTTGGTTTTGCAGGGAGTGTATCATGGTAATGTTTGCTTGGTGGTGGTGACTATATTGAAGGGGGTGGAGAGAGAGAGAATGGCAAGGAAAAGTAGACTAAAGAAGACAAGAAGATTTTAAGTGGGACAATGCAGAGTCTGGAAAATGGGGCTCCTGTACCTAAGCCCTGCTTCCTCATACTTTTTCCTGCTCTCCCTCCATTCCTTTCTCCCTCATCCCGCTATGTTTTATATTACAAATGTATTAATATTGTATATGTCTCAAAGTAGAAGGTGAACGTTCTCATCCTACCCAGTTCCTTGAACAATGGTTTTCATCTTTTAGTATGTAAAAGGACCATCTAGGTTAAAAACCCAGGTTAAAAAGCACCCCTAGAGGGTCTGATTTACCAGATCTGGGGCAAGGCTGATAATCTTCACTCAGAGCAAGCCCCACCCCACCCCAGTGATTCTGATTCTAGTGGTCGTTGAACTCTGGATTGAGATGACATGCTTTGAGCTAACTAGTACCGACTGCTATCAGGAACATGGTGTGTGCCTTTCACACATAAGCCTGCAGAAATGTACACGTGCCATGTGGCATAGAAGATACACACATAACACACAGACACACAGACACAGGACTACACTACATATGGTATATACTTTTCTCTGCCAGCTCACAGCCATGAGCCAGAGCCCCCATCTGTCATAAAACCAGCATTTTACTAGACAAATTAAGAGAGGTTTAGAACCTGCTTGTATACTGCTTTCTGCAGTCTTAGTGCCCTCCCTACCTTGTAAAACTACCCACGCAGAGTCAAATAAAGCCACTCCTATTGCTGGTGACATGCTAGACTTGCTGGCTGGTCTTAACTGCAGCTGGCAATAGATAGGGCTTTCTGCTTCCCTACAAATAGCCTTTAACCTATCCCCTGTGGACATGAATATTTTCCGGTGAGCAAATACTGTGATGAATGTTCTCTGTGCCTTGCTGGTCAGAATATCATGACTGGTTCTCTGATAGAACAAACTCCATCACCTCCTGAGGGCTGTGGAAAGAGCAAAGTTCTTGATGTCAAATAGGACTGAGTTCAGCTCGATATTCCCTTTCATCAGTGGTATATGTTTGGGCAAGTCAATTAACCTCTGAACCTCTGAACCTCAATTTTCTCATCTGTTAAATGGACATAACAACGCTTCACTCACAATAATGTCATGAGGGTTCAATCAAATGACACAGAGAGAACTTGACCCACAGTAATCTTTCCGCAAATTCATTCATTCAACAAGTATTTATTGGGGCGCCTGAGTGGCTTAGTCGGTTAAGCGTCTGACTTTCGCTTGGGTCATAATCTCGCGATTCGTGGGTTCAAGCCCCGCGTCAGGCTCTTTGCTGCCAGCTCAGAGCCTGGAGCCTATTTCAGAGCCTGTCTCTCTCTCTCTCTCTTAGAAATAAATAAAAATTTTTTTTAAAAAATAATGCTATAAATTAATTTTGTCTTTGTGATGGAAGTAAATGATGAGTTGGATGAATAGGCAAAATATCCAGGCAACTTCTCTCAGCACCAGGCCCTAGATATGTCTAAACCTTATTAGAATAAATCACAAATAATTCAGGTTTACATGTATGACTCTTCACCTAAATGGCTATATATGTAAATTAGTCCTATACCCACCAAAGTGGCCGATTCCTTCAAGTGGAAAGCTAGACAACACCCCTTGAATATGTTCCTCTTTCTTGGTCAAGTGACTATTGAATATACAGCCATTGGTCTCCCACGGCCAAAGTCAAAACCAGCCAGCTGAATTGTCTACCTGGTCGACCAACACTGAACAATGCATGCTATGGGGATATTTCCTGGGACTGAGTGGTTTGTTTTACTGCATAAAGTTTAGACTGTTTAGTATGTATTCAAGAAGTTGTTGTGTGCAGCAAATTTCAAAAGAAAACCCAAGAGATAATCAGGAGCTCCAGAAAAATGAGGAATATTTTTGGGGTAGTGAAAACCAGGAAAAATAATTTTTAAAGCTGTTTTGAATAAGACTCTGTGTTATTTCAATTCTTTGTGTGTGTGAATGACTAATTGTAATTCAGTCACAAGTGACAGAAAAAGTGAAAGACAATTCTGATCGCAGTAAGTTTAGATGCTATATTATATGCAATGCATCTAACAAACTCCTTGATGGAAAGAAAGATATATATAATTCCTACCAAAGGAAAATCTATTTCTGGGGTACTTGAGTGGTTCAGTCGTTAAGCGTCCAGCTTTGGCTCAGGTCATGATCTCATGGTTTGTATGTTTGAACTCTGCATCTGTGCTGACAGCTCAGAGCCTGGAGCCTGTTTCAGATTCTGTGTTTTCCTCCCTCTCTGCCCCTCCCCCACTTGCACACTGTCTCTCTCTCTCAAAAGTAAATAAACATTAAAAAATTAAAAAAAAAAGAAAGTCTGTTTCTTCCCACTAAATAAATACAGAATAAACACTAAAAGAATATTGGCCGGGAAGTGCCTGGGTGGCTCAGTTGGGTCAGCGTCTAACTCTTGATTTCAGCTCACATAATGATCTCTTGGTTCCTGGGATCAAGCCCCACTTTGGGCTCTGTGCTGACAGCACAGAGTCTGTTTGTGATTCTCTCTCCCTCTTTCGCTGCCCCTCTCCTGCTCACTCTCTCTTTCTCCCAAAATAAGTAAATAAACTTAAAAAAAAAAGAAGAAGAAGAATATTGGCTCGTAAAAAAAAAGAAGAAGAAGAATATTGGCTCGAAGGAGGTTACATTTGTAGCTGCCCAGAAACCTTCCTCCCTGGGTCCAGTACTGTTGGAATGAGGTTCTGTCTTTGTGGGATAAGGGTCTCATCAGATGGGATTAGATCCTCATTCATTTATTAATTAAAAAATATTAACCCGTTGTTTATGCACTCCTTTATTAATTAAAATCTATTTTTTGAGCACTTATTTTACAGTACGTACTAGGAATGCAAAAATGAGTTAGCCTCACCCAGCCCTCACTGAGCTCAGAGACTTGGGAAGCGAGAACTACGGAACAACGTGGTATGTAGGGCTCTGTGAAAACCCAGCCCAGCTGCAATGCCCAGCAAAGCTGGCAGAAAGCTGAGAACACAGCCCAGCTGATGCATTATTTAGCCAGATCGCCCTTCCCGTTGCCATCAGTCAAGTGTCATGTTCTGCAAGGAGAAGAGCCAGCAAGGTGGCCACACTGTGAGACAGTAGAAAGCTTTTAGGGTCTGTAACAGGTGGGCATTGCCCCTAGAGGGGACTTCCCTCCCCTGGCAGCTCTCTTGTTTTAGGCCGGGTGTTGGTAAACTTGTTCTGTAAAAGGCCAGATAGGAAATATTTTTACCTCTGTGGGGCATGTGGTCTCTGTAGCAACCACTCAACTCTCTTCATAGCATGAAAGCAGGTCACCGAATGGATGTGGCTGTGTTTTGGTGGAACAGCGCTTACAAAGCCAGGCAGCCGGCTGGGGCCCACGGGCTGTGGCTCTTGTCCTCCCGCTGTGGCCCCTGACCCAGAGTTCCCAAGTGGCTTCATGGGCCCCTGCTCCAGGCCTGTTTACGTGCTGACACAGATGCTCCAGGGCAACACAGGCTTCGGAAGGAAGAAAGCAGCATTTCCTCCATCTATCTGCCAGATTTATGTCTACGACACTTATCTTGAGAGTCCCCTTCTGTTTGGGCTTCAACTCCGACATCGATTTTCCCCAGCCGTCTAACGCTGGGCAAAGTACAAATCCTGTGACCTTGTCCTTCTCTGTGAATATCTGCTCCTAGTCAGACAGCAAAAGCTCACTTCAGATTTCCTTCCTTCCGTTGCCAGCACACCACACGCTCACCGTCCCTCCTCCATAAGAAGTATGTCCAGGGGTGGGTACCTGGGTGGCTCAGCCTATTAAGCATCTGACTCTTGATTTAGGCTCAGGTCATGATCTCATGGTTTGTGGGTTTGAGCCCTATGTCTGGCTCTCTGCTGACAGTGCAAAGCCTGCTTGGATTCTATCTCTCCCTCTCTCTCTGCTCCTCCCCTGCTCGTGCTCTCTCTCCCTCTCTCTCTCTCTCTCTCTCAAAATAAATAAATTAAAAACATTAAAAAAAAATGAAACGTGTCCAGAAGATGCAAGTTCTCAGGCTGTGAGGCCAAATTACCATTTGCCCTGGAGTAGCCCTTTATTCAGGAGGAACTTTATAAACATCAAGAGACTATTTTTCCAAAACCCGTTTTAAAAAAAATCCCAGGCACAATAAAAGCACATTGTGCTCTTCAATGTTTGCTTTGAAGAAGTGTTTTTCCACTGGTGTTTTGACTGAAGGGTTTTGTTGCTTCCTTCATTTCTCCTAGCGGTTCTTGGCGATGGAGCCCACATACCGACTTTTCACCCTTTACTCGCTCTCGTGGATAAGACTTCATTGCCCTTGGGAGTTGGCCAAGCAACCAAATAGCTTCTGTCTTCAGTGTCTCAAAATCCTCGAGGCGGTGCAAGCTGCATTTTTCCAGGACCAGGACAGGATGCCAAAGTGATGATGTCACGGCCCCGGCAGCCAGCCCCTCCGTTTCCTGTTTCTTTCCTCCTGACAGACTCATGAATCATATCAGCTTTATCATTTGACTCCGAGCTCATTTCCCTGTTCCACAAACGTTGGAGTTTGAGGAGGTGGGAGCCAAGTGTAATCAAAACACGAAGTCCCAAGTTGCTTTTTCCTTGCAAAACTGGAACACATGTTCTCCCGTCTTGAAAGAAAGCACAGCATCTGGCTTCATTTCGAGTTTTCCAGCCGAGCACTCCGCTCCCTGGGTCAGACGGTGGTGATCTCATCTGCAAAGCTGGCTGTTCACCGTGCCCACACTGTGCCGGAGGCAGGCAAGGTCCCGGGCAAGGTGACAGTGAGGCCCTTGTGCGTGCCCAGCATTGGCGCTTGGGGCCGGGGGGTGTGTACGATGGGGAAGGTCTTCACAAAAGTAAATCTGGGAGTGTAATATACTCAGGTACTCAGCTCCCTGGAAGGTGCTAACCTCCTTACAGATCATTCATCATATAGTGCTGAATTTATTTAGCAGATACTGTGTGAACCGCAGGCTCAGCTCTCAGGGTTTTACTTCAATCCGTTTCATCTTCATACATAACCCTACAAGGTGGATTCAGCTGTGGTTGACAAATTGCAGAGGAGGAAACGGAGGAACTGAGAGGTAACTTGAGGAAGCTCACGTGGTTACTGAGTGCCAGAATCTGTCTTGATGAACACCTGTGGGTGGATGCATGCCTTGTGATATAAGATTATAATAAGAATTTCACTTTTTAAAATGTGTATACATAGTTCAGAAACTCCATGTTTATTTTAATGCAATAACATTTGGTGTAATCATAGTTGCCATTTATGTTTACTGGAGCCACAATGATGTGGTGTGAAAATATACAACTTGGTACATAGACAATGTAAATATGCCTTATGCTAATAATATTACTGTTTAGCACTCCAGGAGCCTCTGTGTCCCAGGCTGGGGTTTGCATCCTTGGCTGGTTCCAGAATGGACTCCTCAACAAATGCAGGGAATGCATGTGACGAGGGAGTGAGATCTTTTATTCCTAGTTATGACTCCACATGCTGGTACTCCTGGGCTGTGATGTGACTTTGACCAAATAATACTATTTTCTGCAAACGTTGGTGAGGCCAGACTTCCATCCATTTAATTTGCTTTCTCAAATCTTCTCTGGAGAATAGCTATTTTGAGAAAGCTTATGACAATTGAATTCTGATTCTCTCTGCACCTGTGTAAAAAGAGGAGGGATTTACTGGCCAGGAGGCCTGTGGAAGTCAGACAGTAGCTTACTTTAATTAAGGGACTGTGAGTCCCCTTCAGGTGACCAATTGGCCCAGTGAACCCTGCCTGTCAGCCCCCTATCTCCCCCTCACTCCGACATCTATGCCTAATCTTCTAAGGGGAAGCAGGCTGAATTTAATTTTGACTTTAAATGAGAAGCTGCAGATCATAAGTGTATGTTTTGCATTTGTTTCTTCTGTTTATTTGAACATATAGCATTCAATTTACCCTCTTTGTCACATTTAAATTAACAGTTCTGTGCATTATGTACATTCACACTGCTATGTAACCATCACCACCACTCCAGACATCTTTCCAAACTGAACCTCTGACCCTTTTAAACTCGAACACCCTCCCTCCCTCTTCCCAGCCCCTGGCAACCCCCACTCTACTTTCTGGCTCTATGAATTTGACTGCTCTAGGGACCTCGTATAAATGACATCATCCAGTATTTGTCTTTTTGTGACTGGCTTATTTCATGGAGCATAATGTCCTCCCGATCTATCCATGTCTTGGCATGTCAGAATCCCCTTCCTTTTAAGACTGTTAAGGCTGGGCAATGTCTGACTGCATGCATATATCACATTTTGTTTATCCATTTCTCTCTTGATGGATGCTTGGGTTGCTTTCACATTTTAGTTATTACGAATAATGCAGCTGTGAGCATAGATGTACAAATATCTCTTCAAGACTCTTTAATTCTTGAGTATATACTCAGAAGCAGAATTTCTGGATCATACAGTCATTCTATGTTTAAGTTTTTGAGGAACCTCTTGTGTTTATTTTTTAAAGGACTACGGAAGATGGATATGTGACTTCTTACATTCCTATGGTCAAATTTTTTAAAAATCACAATAAAGTTCAGTTTCATTAATTACTTCAAATCTGAAATAATTCACTGAGAGGGCCTCAGTTTTGTTTTTTTCTTACTCATTTATCCACTTCTGTGAGATATTTTATAAGCTTCTTTCTCTTTAAGATCTAATCAAATTAGAGTCTATTCTTATATTACCATATCATCATACATACCCAGTATTATCTATACATATCATATAATACATACTCAGTATTATCTATACATATCATATACTACTACTCAGAATTATAAAATAATAGAAGCTCTACTAGACTTACTCCTTAAAGAACATTCTAAGCAGTGGATTGTTGTTTTGCTTTCTTTCCCATGGGGCCATTTACTAAGACAGCCTATAGCCTTTCATTTTCCCAGTCATTTATTCATTCAGCTAATGCTAGGCCCTTTGCCATCTGTTGTGGGCACCATTAGTCAGCATTGACTGTCTTCATCTGTGAGGACCTGTGCCTGTACATTATTGCTCTAACCCACATGTTGCATATACAAATGGCCCCAGAAATTAGAGCTGGATGCAGATGGGTCCAAGAGCTGGAGAGGCCATGGAGGCTTAGAGAGTCTGTGTCTTACTGCAGGGGCAGCCACTTGTCACTCTGTGGGAATGCAGGCCCAGTTTTCCAAATTCTTCTAACTTCAAGGAATGGCAAGAAATCTAGATTTTAAATGTGGAATCTCCCAGTTTTAAAATGCTAACCACTTTTTCAGAAAAAAAAAAAAGTAGCACACTGGGCCAAATAAAAACACATTTGCAGGTCAAATGCAGCTCATGGGTCATTAACTTTGAACTCTCCCTGAGCTGAAACGCTTTCCTGGTTCACAAAGGCCATATATGAGGAACAACCTGTTTTCCCAGGGTGTCTATCAAGAAGGCATGAATGAACCAAGAAGTGAAAATAGAGGTGGATTTCCATGAAGCTAATGGAGCTCTACTTCTCAGCCCTGTACTTACCTGGGCCCCTTCTCTGGGGCTATGTAGTTAGTGTTTTCCAAAGTAAGAAATTTCCACCACAAGAACTGCTGTCTCTTTCCATTCTGACTTCCCCTGTCACATTTCCCCTCATCTCAGGTGGCACTAAACTGGCCAAGGAGATTCTTGGGAAACTGCTAAGGGAAGTTGAGTTGAAGACACATTTAGTTTGAGCTGAGAGGGATTTGTGTGGTTAGGACAAGTAACGTCCATGTACCCCAGCAAGACTTCCCCACTCTGACCTTTTCCCAGCCATAGGGTGAGAAGTCTGCAAGACCAAGTCATTAGACCCGCTCCAGGGCCCAAGCCCCAGATTCTATGCTATACCTGGGATCCTACAATTTCCTGCTAACACTTGGGGTTTTCTTTGGCCTCTTATCTGAATCTACCCTCTTATGGATGATAAACCACCACTGGGTGTGCTCCCCTGGGCCCAAGAAGGGCTATGAGGTGGCTGTTTCCAGGGAGTATGAATGGACTATGAGCATGCATATGTGTAAGGCCCTGAAAAGTGTTAGATGGAGTTTGGGGTGGGTAGAGAAAGGGAGGGGCCAGCCTTCAATGGGAATCCTAAATCCAAATCTAGTTTTCTCAGTCACTATGAAGGTATATTTTTCAAAGAAGAATAAAACGTATCTATTCAATAGTTTATTGATGTGATTTGTAATATTTAACATATAAACCTTTAAATATTTAAATATTTAGAGCTTCATTTGTACTCAAGCCCAGGACCCCACAATATTAGGACTGTACCTGGATTACACTAACTTTTATCCATAGTTGTTTGCATCATCACTGTTGTGCAACTGTTGCTCTAAAACTTAATGGCATAAAACAACCATCTTATTATGCTCATGGATTCTGAGGGACAGAAATTTAGACAGGGTACAGCTTGTCTCTGCTCCACAATATCTAGAACCTCATCTGAGGACACTCCATGGTAGAGGTGACTCTGGAACCGGATCTGGTGGTTGGTGCTGGCCGTCAGCTAGGATCTCAGCTGTACTATGGATGACAGCACCTAATGTGGCCCAGGTTTCCTCAAAGGATGGTGGCCACAATGGAAGTGAACTTCTTATATGATGGATCAAGGCAAGAATCCTTGAGGTGCCAGGATTACTCAGTCGGTTAAGCTTCTGATGGCTCAGGTCGATCTCTCCAATCCCAGGATTGAGGCCCACATTGGGCTTTGTGCTGGCAGCTCAGAGCCTGGAGCCTGTTTCAGAATCTAGACACAGATTCTGTGTCTCTGTCTCTCTTTCTGACCTTCCCCTGCTCACACTCTGTTTCTCTCTCAAAAATAAATACTTAAAAAACTAACAAAAAAAGGCAAGAATCCATGAGAACAAAGTGGTAGATATGGAAGTAGTTTTCTGTTAGTTACAACCAAGTCACAAGCCCACCCAGATTCAAGGGGAGGAGACATAGACTCCATCTCTCAGTGGAATGAGTATCAGAGAATCTGGGGGCTGTGTATTAAAACTATCACTTCGGTTGGGGCACCTGGGTGGCTTAGTCAGTTAACGTCCACCTTTGGCTCAGGTCATGATCTCACAGTTCGTGATTTCAAACTCTGAGTCAGGGCTGTGCACTGACAGTGCAGAGCCAGCTTTGGCTTCTCTCCCTCCCTCTCTCTCTGCCCCTCCCCTACTCTCTCTCTGTCTCTCTCTCTCTATCTCTCTCTCTGTCTCTGTCTCTGTCTCTCTCTCTCAAAAATAAAGAAACATTAAAAAAACACAAAAACCTTTAAAACTACCACTTAGGTTAAGATACTGTTAGCCATTCTGGTGTTGCAATGTCTTTCAAGAATATATCTACTGTCAATTGAAAGAGCATTCCAAGAAAACTTATCTCTTTGAAATTTTAACTCAAAATAAAGGAAATATAGTACATTCTTTCCTCATATTTCAGAAATCCTAAAAATTTGTGTATCATTCATGAATTTTTGAAGCTAAAAGAAATTTTTCTAAAGTATCAATGATAAAAAATGTATTTGATTAACTATGTTAGAGGAAAGAATGTATCTTATCTTTCTATTGTCTATACCAAAAAATATCATGAAACTGTTACCATATGAAGAGGCAGTAAAGGATGTGCTGCCCAAAAAGTGCAGGTGTTTTAGACTGTTACATCATCATATGCACATCTTTAAGAATATTCAGGACACAAAGTGGTAATTAATCCCAAAGAAGTAAAGACCAATACAAGTAAGTGTAGTCCAGGATAACGTCAGGGAAAATGAGGGAAAGGTAGGATTTCAATATGTAGAAGAAAAATAGAGGCTGAGGGCAGAGCTGAGTCAACTGGTCAACCCACATTGTCAGTTACACCTGACATCAGTTCTGATTGGCTCAGTCTCCACTCTGATTGGTCAGTGCCTGCCACAGCAGTTGTAAATGTTTTGCACATCATCCCTGTCAGTTACAAGGGACAATATTAACAAAGACACAGAGAAGGAATAATCTTGGCTTGTTTATCAAACGGTAAGGAAATTAGACCAGCTTGAGCCCAGCTGGCACAGTTATGGGGAGGACAGCTGTTTAATTACAGTAAAACCAATTGTGAAGAATATTGAATGTCAAGTAAAGAAATTTGTACATAATTCTGCAACCAGTGGAGGGTAATGAATCATTCTGTAAAGTAAGGACAAAATGGAGATTTTTTTTTTTAATTTTAGGAAGATTACAGTAGTAGTTGAACTAGGGGAAAACTAAGGAAATCTTTTTAGGAGGTAGTTGTAATAATTCAGGCGTGAACGTATCAGATGTTAACTAGGGAACTAGTAATTTGGGCTTGTTTGTGTATCACTTCTTTAACTTAAGTTTTGTATGATTAGCTTAAAATGGATTATGTATTGAAGACCTCTACTTAAAATGCCCCACTTAAAATCCTCTGGCTCCACCTCCTTCCAGTCACTGATGCTAATGCAGTGAGCAGTTCTATTCAACTGGCTTTATGCTGAAGCACCTTTTGAGTGCATCTTCTCCCTTTCCATCCCTGACTTCTCTGATGCAGTGGCAAGCTGGGGTGGCCAGCCAACCCACTGGGCACTCACTTATGTAAAACTAAGAAATGCAGGGTTATTAACATTCTCTGGAGCAACCATCCACCACTGGGGATGTGTGCTGTAGGGTAAATGCTTTCCCTTTTCTCCCCACCCCACAGTGATATGTTTCATGGAGCTCCTCAAGTTCCTGTAGGGTCAAATAGTCACCATAGAGATGGCTACCTGGATTCCTTCTCGCTGTCCCACCTCGTCCTGACACTCCTTCCTGCTCCCTGTGAACACATTCCCAAATAAATCACTCATGCATCAGCCTTTGTATCATGTTCTTTTCTGGGGAAGCCGAGGTTGAGCTAGAACAGGGTCTTCACTTCCAGTTCTTTTGAAGCCACCATGGTGGAACCTCACATCATGTTCTGCTCTCATTAGAAACATCAACATGGCCAATAGCTAATATCTCCTTTTGACCTTTTAAATTTAAAAAATGAGGTTGTAGAGCTGATGCAGTCCCATATACTAAGCAGTCGTTGTTTTGTTTGTTGGTTTTGTTTTGAGTATTTTGTTTGTCTTTATTTTTGAGAGAGAGAGAGCTCGCATTATCAGAGGAGGGGTAGAGGGAGACAGAGAAAGAGAATCTTAAGTAGGCTCTGCGCTGAGCTTGGAGCCCGATATGGGGCTCGAGTCCATGATCCTGGGATCATGACTTGAGCTGAAATCAAGAGTTGGACGCTTGACCCACTGAGCCACCCAGGCGTCCCATAAGCAGCAGTTTTAAGCATGTAAAGAGGTAATTTGGAGTCCTGGGAAGAGCAGAGAATTTGGAGTTATGAGATCTGGATTTGAGCTTTGCTACTTACTAGGGGAGTGAGCAAGGAAAATTATATAACTCTTCTAGTTTTCAGTATCTCCATAAAATAGGCAAGCTAGTAATTACTTACCTTCTTAGGGTTCCTATGAGTACCAAACAGGGAAAATGTATGTGTGGTACACTTTTGTTACTTTGAGTGCTCAACTTCTATTCTCCCTTCCTCTTAATTATGCAATCGCAATTTTGTTTGGATGAATATTCACCATTTCCCAACACATCCCATGTTTCACACTGTCTCCCACCTCTCTGCCCAGCATTAGGGTAGGTTCTGATTGACTAAAGAAGAGACCATTTGTCATTTTCCTGGAAATGTTGATTGGAAAAAAGCAAGATATGAGATCTGGGAGAGAAACTCCCTCATTCTTCTGAAAGAGTAATCAAAAAAGAAAATCTTTCTTTTTTCTGAATATGAATGAGACTGAATGTAACTCCTAGAAATCTGTAGACATCATCTAGTGGCCCTAATGAGGGTCAGCCTGAAAATGAAACAAAAAGGAACCATGGTGAGATTACTGAACTTCTGAACCAAGCCACATCCAAAGCCTACATGACCTCTGGTCATTTCAGATAAGTGAGTCATTTTTTTATTTAAATAAGTGAGTCAAATAGTTTATTAAGCCAGTTTGAGTCAGGTTTTCTCTTACCAGGAAAAGAAGAATTCCCAGCTGATAGAGTATGTAAAAAGCATTATAGCTTGCAAATCACTATAAAAACATTAGTTTGTACTGTTTTTATTATTACTATTTAGCAATAGTCCATGTAGCAGGTTGAGAAAAATTCCTTTCCTGTTTTCATTTTAATCTAGTACAAACTTTTAGGAAGAAATTTAAATCACTGCCTTACAGCAATTTCAGAAATAGATCCCAGCTAGATTAACTATATATATATAGAAAGAAGCAAATGTTAAAAAAAAAAACAACATATAAAACTGACTGAATTTTAAAATATATATTAAACTCCCAAGTCATAAAAGAAAAGACTGTCAGAATTGGCTACATAAAAATGAAAATACAAAAACTGCTATAATTCAGGGGAAAAATTACCATAAACAAAGTTAAAATGCAAAGACAACCTGGGGGAGTGTTATATGGTAGATAAACTCACAATATATAAAGAGTTCTTATAAATCAATAAGAGGAAACCTCCTCAACATAAAAATAGGTAAAAGACTTAATCACAAAATTTAAAGACCATAAGAAAAGATGCTAAACTTAAGATCAAAGAAAGTCAAGGGTTATCATTAAAAGAGATTACTAATAATTGTGATAACTAACACATATTAAGCACCAGTCTCTATAAGAATTCTCCAACAGAGATGTAGGTATAAGAATAATCGTTATAGAGTTAAAACAAATGAAAATAACTTAAATTTCAAGGAATAGAAAATTGGTAAAACATATTATGATATATTCCTATACTGAAATACATTGATGGCATTAAAAGAGATCCAATATGCCCTTTAGTGTGAACATAGAAAGAAGTATAATACATTTTTGAGTTCAAACAAGATACAGAATGATCCCATTATATTAAAATACATATTTACATATACATTTATAGTCTAGAAGTAAATGCTGACTATTGATAATGGTTATCTCTCAAGGGTGCCTGGGTGGCTCAGTCAGTTAAGCTCCAACTTGGGCTCAGGTCATGATCTCACAGCTCATGGGTTCAAACTCTGAGATGTGCTCTGTGCCAACAGCTCGAAGCCTACAGTCTGCTTTCTGTGTTTCGCTCTCTCTCTCTGCCTTTCCCCTGCTCACTCTCTCTCCCTCTTTCAAAAATGAATAAGCATTAGAACAAAACAACACAAAAAATAATGGTTATCTCTCAGGTATAAGATTATCTAGAGACCATTTTATGTACTTTTTATAAAAGTGTATGTAGGATTAAAATATTTTTATTTTAAAATAAATAATTAAATGAGCATGAATCAGAGATATCTGGGTTGGGTAATACACGGCCACCTTAATGGTTGAATGTACTCCTCTTGTCTTTAGCTTCTAAATGCTGATGAAGCATCTGGCAAATGATAGTGACTATCATGTTTAGGAAGAGTGGAAGGCAAGACAAGGGAAGCATTGATAGCTACAGTCCTCTGTCTCCAAGTAGCGCATACAGCGGCACCAGAGGGTCGGAGAGGGCATAGGGAAGGGCTTCCCAGGAAAGCAGAGCTTCTCCAACCAAGGAACTAGGAATGGAGAAACTTCACAGTCAGCTCTGGGTGAAGTAAGGGACTTAGTTTTTATGCTCACTCTCCTAAATGCCCACCTACAATGTTCCCAATTGGCTCCTTGAAAACTATGAGAAGCAGTCATTTTCCAGGTTCTGGCTATGAAGGCAGAGGCTTCCTCAACTCCTTTGTCACCAAACCAGGAATTTCTTATACCTGATCTCCTCCCTTCCTGGTTCTTTGGAGTTGCCTTTGGACTAATTTTGATAACACGTCACACTGCTATGAACAGCCAAAGCCTGATACGATCCTATGAGGTAAGGCCCTTGGCTGAGTTGACATCTCCCTGTCCCTGTAGGAGGATTCTTGTACAGAGAGTCATGACACAAGGCATTTCTTTCTAGGAAGGAACTTTATTTGTGCCAGCAGTGGCTCAGTTGGGTTTGTACCCAAATAACTGAGCCCCGAATGCCACGTGGCATAGTCTCTTACATATTTTTGACTTTTTTTTGGTCTCCCATATACGGTAACACACAAACATGTGATCTGATTAAGTGGTCTCATGTTACAGGGTTGTGAGGGATATCACGTACACATATAGCCGGGTTGCCTTGAGGTGCTTTTTTTTTTTCTTTTACATTCCTTAGGGAGGGGATCCTACCACTCCCCCACCCCCAGAACCTGGAGTTTGGAGTTCTGGATAACAGGCACAAGGAGGAATTACACAAACAAATAAGTTTTACGCGCCCTTCATCCATGCCTTGTCATTGACTTAGGTGAGTTACCAGAAAGCTCTTTGGTTGAATTCTAGGCCAAATAACTCAAAAGGATCAGACAGTTTCAGTGTGTAAAGTTTTCAGATGAGATAACTGAAAACTTAAATAAGTTACCTGAATTCTACCGAGGCCATGGCAAACTTTGGAGCTGACGTGAGAATCCAGTCTTCCTCACATTGCATGGTTTCCACACTGCCACGCTACCTCCTTGGCTGCCATGTTTCCAGTGGCAGAGTTTCAGAGTTTCAGGGATTTGTAAAGAGTGATCTTTTACATGTTCACTCAAAATAGTGAATTGGAAATGAAGCTGTAGCACTGAACACTTTTACTGTAATGCCTAGGGTTGTTAATAACAAGAGTACTTAAAAATGTAATACAGTCAAACAATGTGACATTTGTTTATTCATCCATTTATCACACATTTATTCAGCATATACAACATCCCAGGCCCTGGAGCAGGAAAAATGAAAGCACACAGCAGTAGCAAGGAACCATATCACCTGGCAATGATTTTAAGCCATACATCCTTAGCAAGTCAGTCTGGTCTGGCCCATTAGACCCCTGACCATTGGTCTTGGCCACCCTTGTACAAAGAATTACTACATCAGTGCAGAACACTCAGTTTCCTGCAGACCCTCTGGCAACATTCACTTGCAATAAGCTCTTCAAAGCAGCCCCTGTGGATGGTGGTCTGATGTAAATCTCTGAAAGTAGGGACATAAAGAAGTTTTCACTTCTTACATTTTATCTACAACTGGGATTTCTGCATCCTTTACAGCATTCACAGGAAGTCCTACAGGTAGAGAGGACAAGTGGCATCATCAATTAAAACAAGACCCAGTCCTAACCCATGGAATGATTAGAGACAATTGCAGTGGCTCAGCAAAGATTCCATCTAGTAAATTTTGGTTACAAAAAAAGCATGGCTATATGTTAATAAACTCATAAACCACCATATCTGATGAACAGTTGTCTGAGAATGGGCTTTCCTTGTATCAGAATGGCTACCTGTACATTTTCTGAAACGTGTGGGGAAGCACCAAGGCAGGGTGACCATTGACATCACTGACAGCCCATTGTTTCTCAAGTGTCTCAACTTTGCCAAAGAGTCTGTGTCTACTGAAAGAAAATGAGCATTGAAGTCAACAATAGCAGGAAGCATCCTGTCGGACACTCTCTCATTTGTTACCTGTAGTCCCTAAAATCACCTTCAACACACTAAAGGCAAAAATCCTGTCTCTACCACAGATTCACATTATAGAGAATAGTTACAGACTGATTATTTTTTTTGATCTCGATGACAAATTGGTCATATATAACCAAGAATGAAAAAGTTCTTTAAATAAAAGGGAAATGACACCTGAGGGAAACTTTTAATTTTAGGAATGAAGGAAGAGAAATGGAAATGGCAAATATTTGGGTAAATATAATCAACTGACTCTTTTTCTTGAGTTCTTTAAACTATGAGTGATGGTTGAAGGCAATAATTTTAACATTGTCTAATGGGTTTCCAATGCATGTAGATGCAACGTATACAATAACTACGATATATAGGGAAAAGTAAAGGGACATATATAGTGGTGAAGTTTTTACATTACTCTTAAAATAAAAAAGTATTAACTCAAACTGAAAAATAAAAGAATATATGTTGTAACCCCAAGTATAATCACTAAAAATCTATAAAAAGATATAGTAAAAGCCTCAAAAAAAAAAATGTTACAAGCCTCAATAGATAAATTGAAATTGAATACTAAAAAAGTAACCAAATAATTTAAAAGTAAGAGTAAAGGAAAAACAGGGGAATGAAAACAGGTGAAAACAAGAAAAAAATAATGAAATGGTAGACCTAAATCTGAACATTTCAGTAATAAATATAAATGGCTCCAAAATGCCAATAAAAAGACAAGGATTGCCAGAGTAGTTAAAGAAAAAGACTCAATTATATGCTGTCTATGAGAAACTCACTTTAAATGTATTGACATAAGTTAAAAGGAAAACTTAAAAGTTGTTAAAAGTTAAAAAAAGTTTTCCTTTTAACTTATGGAAAAAGTTATTACATGAAATATTGGAAAAAATATTACATGAAAATACTAATAAAAAGAAAGCTGGAATTACTATATTAATATCAGACAAAGTAGACTTCAAAGAAAGGAAAATTACTGGGATAAGGAGGGACATTTGATAAATGGGTCATTCTACCAACAAGTCCTAAATGTATATGTACCTAACAGGGCTTTAAAATACATTACTTAAAAATAGGTAAAACAGAAAGGAAAAGTAGAAAAACCCACAATTATAATTGGAATCTTCAATACTTCTCTTCTGGGAGTTGATAAAACAAGTATATAGAAACTCAGCAAGATATAGAACTGAACTAACTGATCTACTAACATTTCTAGAACACCTCCAAGGAACAACAGAAGAACACACATTCATTTCAAGTGTACATGGGACATTCACTAACATGGACCATATTCTGGGTTATGAGAAAATCCTCATAAATATAAGAGAATAAAAATCACACAAAGTATGTTTTTTGATCACAACAGTATTAAACTGGAGATCAATAACAAAAAGATGACTAGAATATCTTCAAATATTTGTAAATTAAAACACACACACATACACACACTCTTCTAAATAAATAATCCATGGGTCACAAAGACTCTCAAAAGAAATTAGAAAATAATTTTAGTGTTTTTTTAAGAGAGTGCGCATGCACACAGGCACGCATGAGTGAGCAGGGGGGGAGGCAGAAGCAGAGGGAGAGAGAGAATCCTAGGCAGGTCCCATATTTAGCATGAAGCCCAACATAGGTCTTCATCTCATGACCTGAGCTGAAGTCAAGAGTCTGACGCCTAACTGACTGAGCCACCTGGGTGCCCCTACAAAATATTTTGAATTGAGTGAAAATGAAAACACAATATATCAAAATTTTAGGAATCCAGTTAACACAGTGCTTTGAGAGAAATTCATAGATTTAACTACTTATATCAGAAAAGAAGAAAGATTTCGAATAAGTAATCTAAGCTTCTACCTTAAGAAAAAGGGCAGAATAGCCCAAAGCAAAGAGAAGGAAAAAATAAAGATAAGAGCAGAAATCAGTGAACCTAAAAAGAGTAACAGTAGAGAAAATAAAAGAAAAAATTTGTTTCTTATATATCAATAAAATTCAGTAAACTTCTAGACAGACAAAGAAAAAACAGAGAAGATAGAATACAAAGAATAAAAAAAAGTAAATCACTACAAACTTTCATTATCAAAAAGATAATGAATAATACAAAATTATGTACATAAGTTTGACTACTTAGATGAAATGGACGAAGGCCTTGAAGACCACAAATTATCAAGACTCACCTAAGAAAAAAACTGGCATACCTTAATAGTTCTATCTATATCTGTTAAATAGATTGTAGTTTAAAACCTGCCAAAAAAGAAAAATCCAGGCCCAGACAGTTATTTTAACAAATCTTACCCAATGTTTTAAGAAAACACCCAATTCTGCACAATCAGCATCCTACAGGAAATTCTAGTCAATACAACAAGTCAAGAAAAAGAAACAAATGACCTACAGATAGAAAGGAAGAAATTAAATTATCTCTGTTCTGAGATAATAGTTGTTTCAGGAAACATGATGTCTATACGGAAATCCAAGGAATCTATAAAACACTTGTAGAATTAATACGTGAATTTAGCAAGATGGAAAGATATAAGGTCAACAGAAAAAAATCAGTTTTATTTCTATATATTGGTAATGAATAATTTGAAATCAGTTATTTATTTAATGTTTATTTATTTTTGAGAGAGACAGAGTGCCAGCAGGGGAGGGACAGAGAGAGGGCACACAGAATCTGGATCAGGCTCCAGGCTCTAAGCTGTCAGCAGAGAGCCTGACACGGGGGTCAAACACATGAACCACAAGATCATGATCTGAGCTGAAGTCGGAAACTCACTGAGCCGCACACACACCCCTGAAATCAGTTTCTTAAAATGTCATTTATATGGGGCGCCTGTGTGGCTCAGTCAGTTAAACGTCCAACTTCAGCTCAGGTCATGATCTCACAGTTCGTGGGTTGGAGCCCCACATCGCGCTCTGTGCTAACAGCCTAGAGCCTGCTTCAGATTCTTTATTTCCCTCTCTCTCTGACCCTCCCCTGCTCATGCTGTCTCTCTCTCTTTCTTTTTCTCTCTCTCAGAAATAAATAAAACATTAAAAAAAAATTTTAATGCCATTTATAATATCCCTAAAAAATGATAAATAGTTGGGTATAAAGCTAACAGGCAGAATCTATGTGCTAAAAACTACAAAGTGCCATTGCAAGAAATGAAAGGAGACCTAAATAGAGAGCCAAACAATGTTTGTAGCCATACAACATTCATCTCAACAATACAGTTAAGATGGCAAATCTCCCCCAAATTGATCTATAAATTTAATGCAATCCCAATAAAAATTCAAGGACTGTTTATACAGACTAAGTGATTCTACAACTTATATGGGAAGGCAATAGGACTAGAATACCAGGAAGCTCTTGAAAAAGAAGGATTAACCATTTTTAAGACTTGTTATAAAGCTGCAATATTCTAAAATAATGTGATATTAACAAAGGAATAGACATAGTTCAATGGAACAGAACAGAGTCCATACATAGGCCCACACAATATGATTTTTGACAAAGTGAAAGATCTGTATACCGAAAACTATAAGACACTGATGAAAGAAACTGAAGAAGACATAAATGAAAAAATATACTGTGCTCATAACCAGAAGAATTAATATTGTTAAAATATCCATGCTTCCGAAAGCAAATCTGGGAACAAACAAATTCAATGCAATCCTTATCAAACTTCCAATAGCATTTTCCACAAAAATAAAACAATCCCAAAATTTGAGTGGCGCTGTAAAAGACCCAAAATAGCCAGAGCAGTCTTGGAGACACCTGGGTGGCTCAGTCAGTTAAGCATCGGACTTCGGCTCCAGTCATGATCTCACGGTTCACAGGTTCCATTCCCATGTCAGGCTCTGTGCTGACAGCTCAAGAGTCTGGAGCCTGCTTCAGATTCTGTGTTTCTCTCTCTCTGCCCCTCCCCTGCTCATCCTCTGTCTCTGCCTCTGTCTCTCTCTCTCTCTCTCAAAAATAAACCTAAAATATTTTTTGAAGAAAAGAATGAGAATATACTGATGATAGGGCACTGATGAGGAGGCTTCAGGTGGGGAAAAAAAAAACAAACACAATTCTTGTATCAAGGCCAGTGGTAGGAAAGGAGAGAAAAGGAAAACATATGCAGATATTTTTTTAATTGGTTATGTGTGAAGGACAGTAGTCCAGGAAAACACTTAGATTTCTTGTTTGGCCAATTTGGTGAGTGGTAACACCACAATATTTTCTCCTTGGCACATAGGTGCCATATTTTACTCTCGTATAATAAAAGGCTTCTTTTTTATTATAAAAACCTCTTCTTGAGGTTGTGCTCACAGGCATCACTGCTTTAAGAAAGGCAAAATAGAAGACTGGCATATATTTCACAGCCAGCTTTTCTAAACATGCTCCCATGAAGCACTGGTTTTGAAAAAAGTGAACTGATACTCTGTAGAGGAAGAAAACATTGAATAATCCAAAAACACTTTTGGGAAACATGAAATACTACACTCCTCTTGGAGAGTCACAGTGGAAACATATCAGAGACTCACAGTAAAGAGACTCTTAAACTTTATTTGACTCTGAATTTCCCATAGTTACTTGAGTTTATAACTCCTTTTTCACATAACCACTTATTTGGGGGGATCTAAGTAGACCAAATGCAGTGTTTGTGTTATGAAAGCTGGGTAGGATTCAATTATCCACGAATAACTGTGTTTGAATCAGAAGACAGAGCTGTATCCAGTGGTGTGTTGCTAAGTGTTTACTGGCCAAACCAGGAGAGATGGGGGAGGTAGAAGAGAGTGGAGGTGTGAGAGATACAAGAGGAAGCATGAAATAGTTGTCTTGGAGAGCAAGAGAGCAGACTCCCTGAGGCAGCATAATAGAATTACCAGGCAGTTTTGAATCCCCTTTGGAGGTTTGAGGTCATGAACTTCAAGTGAGGCTAGCCAACAACAGCAGTGCTGTTTTCCTCAGCCCTGGAGTTTAGGAGTTGCGAAGACAAGGGCTATGTTTCACCAGGATTAGAGCTTTTCCAGGCAAGAATAACAGGAAAGAAAGGAGCATGAGAGATTGAGACTCCAAGCAACATCTGGTGGGTAAGGAAGGAGCAAGCAGAGGTGAGCATGAATGGAGAGGTGCTGGGGTCTTTGGATCGGAGGCCTCAAACTATCAGAGGACAGTTGGTGTTGAGGTATTGAAAGGAAAAGAGGTGCCAGAGTTCAGATTTGGGAAATGGGGCACTTGTTCATAGTGATAAGAGCTAGGGCATGGCAAAGGAAGAGGCCATCAGAAGCGAGAAGGTCTAGGTGTCTGGTAGGTTCTGTGGAGAACATCCAGGATTATGATGAATGGAGGATGGAGGAAGATGGCACTTGAGCTAGGTGCTAATCCTCAAGGATTCTGGAGGAAAGGGAATTACAGAGATGACAGCAAAAGCTAGGGTAGTATCACTGGGTTGCACGAACTTCAAGAGAGCTGGGAGTTCCAAAAATATAGAAGAAATGTTTTTGAGACTGCAAAGACATCCCACTTTTAGAGTATGAGATGATGTGCATGTCAGAGGATGTGGATGTGGAAGTGATGTAGATGTCCTCTACTTTAGGAGAAATGGTCTCCCCAGAGAACAGCAGGCTTCCAGCATGAGACAAGAAGGTAAAGGGAAGATCCCCAGAGGTGGCTGAGGATTTAGGAGAGTTTGCTGACAAGGTGCTGCCTTCCAGAGGGCAGAGTGTTAGAGTTAGGGAGGGTGGGGATGGTAGGATTAGACCTTTTTAGAGTTTGTGGGGGTAAGGCTCCTGAGGATGATGGAGCTGTCTATAGCATTAGACAGGATAGACTGGTTCTGAGGGAAGATGGTTGGCTCAAGTTGAGTCTAATAAAATTAAGGGGAGGCTTCATTCTGCTTTGGCTGAAATACCAAGAAGCATCCCTAGTTGCCTAGTTTTCCACAGCAAGCAGGGCCATACCTACACTGCTTCTGCACACTTTAGTACTGGGCATAAGATGGACTCGACAAATACTCACTGCAGAAGTTATTCTCAAGGGTCAGCAACTAATATGGTCCTGCCTCACTCCTAACATATTGATAGGATCTTAGCTAACATTACCACCCTCTAAAAAAGTAACTAACAGATGCTTCTGTTTGACCCTTCTCCTCTCACTCGCTTACCTCCCCACGAAGAGTTGTGTATCTGATTGAGGGAACAGGTGCCTTCTCCAGGGACAACCTGGGCATTTTCCTCTCAGACTCTACTTTCCTGGGGTCAACACACTCAAATCCAGTCCCAGGTCCACTGCAAGCCTGCTTTCTTGGTTCCCCAACTCTTGCTTGAGGGGGGTACCTGGACAGATAAGAGTACCTGGGCAGGTGAAAATTTGCTCCTGGGGTCAACACACTCAAATCCAGTCCCAGGTCCACTGCAAGCCTGCTTTCTTGGTTCCCCAATTCTTGCTTGAGGGGGGTACCTGGACAGATAAGAGTACCTGGGCAGGTGAAAATTTGCTCTGTAAACCAACCCTCTCCATGTGCAGCTCTCAAAACCCAGCTTTGCAACGTCCTACATGGGAGCCACGTCACATATGGCTCTTTAAATTTAAATTAATTAAAATAAAAGTCAGTGCCTCAATGGCATTAGCCACAATTCAAGGGCTCAATAGTCTCATATGGCTACAGATCAGTCAGCACAGCTACAGAACACTTCCATCAACTCAGAAATTTCTGGTAGAATGCACCCCTCCGAAACATTAATCAAACGATTATTATTGGCCCCTTTCCAACTCACGTGTTCTTCATCGCTGCAGAACGCATGCGCTAGCCCGGAAACTCCCCGGCGTCGGACAGAAACTGGAAGCGGGAGTGGGCGCGGCGAGCTGCCACCATGGCGCAGTACAAGGGCACCATGCGGGAGGCCGGCCGGGCCATGCACCTGATCAAGAAGCGGGAAAAGCAGAAGGAGCAGATGGAGGTGCTGAGGCAGCGGATCGCCGAGGAGACCATGGTTAAGTCGAAGGTGGACAAGAAGTTCTCGGCTCATTACGACGCCGTGGAGGCCGAGCTGAAGTCGAGCACGGTGGGCCTGGTGACCCTCAACGACATGAAGGCCAGGCAGGAGGCCCTGCTCAAGGAGCGGGAGATGCAGCTGGCCAAGAGGGAGCAGCTGGAGGCGCGGCGCCTGCAGCTGGAGACCCTGCGGGAGAAAGAGCGCAAGCGGGAGCAGAAGCGCAAGATCTGCAGTCTGTCCTTCGCGCTCGAGGAAAGCGAGGAGGGCGCCGCGGAGGCGGAGGCGGTGGCGGCGGGGTCTGGGGAGCGGCCCTCTTCGGCGGGGCTGAGCAAGAAGAAGAAGAACCTGGGGAAGAATCCAGACGTAGACACGAGCTTCCTGCCTGACCGCGACCGCGAGGAGGAGGAGAACCGGCTGCGGGAGCAGCTGCGGCAGGAGTGGGAGGCCAAGCGCGAGAAGGTGAAACGCGAGGAGATGGAGGTCACGTTCAGCTACTGGGACGGCTCGGGGCACCGGCGGACCGTGCGCATCCACAAGGGCGGCACCGTGCAGCAGTTCCTGAAGATGGCCCTGCAGGGGCTGCGCAAGGACTTCCGCGAGCTGCGGTCAGCCGGCGTGGAGCAGCTCATGTACGTCAAGGAGGACCTGATCCTGCCCCACTACCACACCTTCTACGACTTCATTGTCACCAAGGCCCGGGGCAAGAGCGGGCCGCTCTTCAACTTCGACGTGCACGACGACGTGCGGCTGCTGAGCGACGCCACCGTGGAGAAGGATGAGTCGCACGCAGGCAAGGTGGTGCTTCGAAGCTGGTACGAAAAGAACAAGCACATCTTCCCCGCCAGCCGCTGGGAGCCCTACGACCCCGAGAAGAAGTGGGATAAGTACACTATCCGATGACCCCTTGGCCACGCCCCTGAGGCTCCCTGTCGCGCCCCACCTCCGCCTTGCCTGCAGATAGAGCCTTAGGGGCCCCTGGTGGCTTCCTGCCCACGCCCGGGGCAGCGACAGCCAGCAGAGGAAACGGATTTCTGTGTGCTGGAACTTCCAACTTAATTTGGTGACCACTTCTTTCCCAAAATGTAATAAAGAACTGGGGGTTCTTGTAATTCAAGTGTGGTCATTCTGTTGCTTATGGTTACTTTTGGGTGTTTGGTTGTTGGGGGGGGTGGTTAATGTTGCTTTGGGAATGATACGGCTCCATTGAGCTGTATTGGAGCCATGACTGGGCACATCGTGGGACACAAGTGAGGATAAGGAGAACATTTTTGACTTGGGTCACAGTATTTAAGCAAGTACTCATGGGCATGACTTTGGAGCCAAACTCCCTGGGTTTGATTCCCAACTTGGCTTCTTTATTTGCTGTATAATTTGAGACGAATTAATTGAACCCCTGTTCAATTAACAAATAACAATAGCTCTTATGTCCCAAGATCTGTGTAGAGATTAAATGAGTAAATCTTTGTAAAAACACTTAGAACTCAAGAAATGTCTGCTATTATTCTTCTTACATCTTGGTTACTTTATTTAAGGAACTGCTATGACCCATTTCAGAACCATGTGAGGACAAAAAAGGTTGACCTATCCACCACTTTTCCCCAGATCAGAGGAGTGAGGGGCAGTGGCTCGGAAGCCGGGAAAGCAGCCCCCTTTTGAGGGATCCTTAGCTGGGTTGTTTAGTCACCTAGGGTTAGGAATTGGTTAGTATAGCCTAGAGATCAGGATTTCTGTTTTGTTTTGTATTTGTTTCCAATATGGCTCCACACAGTGCTGTTAAAGATCCTGTCTTTATTTGCCTTAAATTTTTGATATTTGATTCATTATGGATTTCCTTGTGTTGATGTTGATTATTTAAAATATAGCATTAAAATACTGATCTTCATTACGGAGTTTTTGGGTGTTTCCACTCCCCACGCCTAACATTTACGTTAATGCCCAAGGCAGATGCCTCACTCACTTTATCTCAGTCCCAGCTTGGAGGGTAGGAGAGACCCTTCTTTTCTCAGAGTTCTTGCCTCAACCCAAAAACAAGAACTTCCAACAGAATGTTGGCCCTCTAGGCCGTGGGTCCCACCATTGGCTGCCTATTGGGATCATCGGGGATGCTTTTAAACCTTCCAATTCCCGGGTCATATCCAGAGCCAGGATCTCAGTGGGGTGTAGACATTAGCAGGTTTTGAAGCTCCCCAGGATTCAATGTGCAGTCAGGTTTGAGACGGAATGTGTTAGGGTTGCCTTCTCTCTACCTCTTATTACCTCCTCCCCTGAGATTCCGGACCATAAGTACACCTGAGTCAGAGCCCAGGGCCTTCTCTGGACTCTGATTTACTTGGCGGATGAGGGGGGTGGGGAATGGTATTACCCAACGTGTGATCCTTGGAGTGGCAGTGTCAGCCCTTGGCAGCTTATCAGAAAAGCAGAATCTCAGGTCCTATCCCACACCTACTAAATCAGAATGTATAGTCCAGCAAGATCACCAGGTGATTCATATGCACACTAAGATTTAAGAAACCTATTGCTGGCTACATGTCTGCTCTATAGTCTGCACTTTTCTTTTTAATTGATTTATTTTTGACAGAAAGAGAGAGAGAGAGAATGAACGGGGGAGGGCCATAGAGAGAGGGAGACAGAATCTGAAGCAGGCTCCAGGGACGTGAGGCTCCAACCCACAGAGGCAGAGATATGACCTTAGCCAAAGTCAGTTGCTTAACCAGCTGAGCCACCCAGGCAACCTCTCTATAGTCTGCCCTTCTAACATCTTAACTGAAGACCTAGACTAAGAGGGATCTAATAGTAGGACCCTGCGTCTTTGCTTGCAGGTCCAAGCCACATTTTCTAATCCAGCTTTAATTTGAACATTGATATGCTGGCTACAGTCCAACCCTTGCATCTGTTTCTTAATTGGCTTAGTGTTACTTAGACTCACTTAGTTACTTAGTCCTGCCATGCATGATAAAACCCCCCAAAGAAACTAACAGTGGTTTAAGCAAGCCTGTTTCTTTTCCTGTACTAGTCTAGACATAAATTTGCATAGCATCAATCAAAAACCCAGGCTACTTCCATCTGTTCTTCTACCAAAGTGGCCTCCATACCCACAGATACCTCATAATCCAAGAAGCTCCAACTCAAACTACCACATACACATACTAGGAAATAGAAGGTATGGGGAGAAAAAAAGTCCAAAAGGCACAAAATAACCATCTCTTAAGAATACCTGTAAACTGACAAATAATAATTTGATTTAGATCCCTTTTGCCAGAACTTGCTTACTTGGCCACACTTTGCTGCAAAGAAAGCTGGGAGATGTAGTCTTTTTTTAAATTTTGAAAAAAAATTTATTTTATATTTTAATTTCAGTATATTTAAAATACAGTGTTATATTAGTTTCAGGTGTACAATATAGTGATCCAACAATTCTAACATTACTCAGTGTTCATCGTAAGTGTACCAGTTTGTTCTCTATAGTTGAGAGTATGTTTTTTGGTTTGTCTCTTTTCATTCTTCATTTGTTTCTAAAACTCCACATATGAATGAAGTCATTATGGTATTTGTCTTTCTCTGACTGACATATTTCACTTAGCATTATACTCTCTAGCTCCATCCATGTTGTTGCAAATGGCAAGATTTCATTTTTCATGACTAATTCCTATATATACTTATATATAGATATACATACACATTACCACATTTTCTTTATCCATCTATTGATGGACACTTGGGCTGTTCCATAATTTGGCTATTGTAAATAATGCTGCAGTTGAACTAGTGCTTTCGTATTCTTTAAAAAAAAATTTTTTTTTAATGTTTCTGTACTTTTGAGAGAGAGAGAGAAACAGAGCACCAGTGGGGAAAGGGCAGAGAGAGAAGGAGACACAGAACCCAAAGCAGGCTCCAGCCTCTGAGCTGTCAGCACAGAGCCTGACACAGGGCTCAAACCAATGAACTGTGAGATCATGACCTGAGCCAAAGTTGGCCTCTTAACCAACTGAGCCACTCAAGCACCCCACGATTTAGCGTTTTCATATTCTATAGATAAATACCTAATAGAGGAATCATTAGATCATATGGTAATTCTGTTTTTAATTTTTTGCAGAACCTGCATATTGTTTTCCACAGTGACTGCACCAGTTTGCATTTCCACCAACAGTGCACTAGGGTTCTCCTTTCTCCACATCCTCACCAACACGTGTTGTTTCCTGTGTTGTTGATTTTAGCCATTCCAACAGATGTGAGGTGGCATCTCACTATAGTTTTGATTTGCATTTACCTGATAACGAGTTATTTTGTGCATCTTTTCATGGGTCTGTTGGTGATCTTTATGTCTTCTTTTTTTTTTAATTTTTTTAAATGTTTTATTTATTTCTAGGAGAGACAGAGAGAGAGACAGCGTGAGCAGGGGAAGGTCAGAGAGAGAGGGAGTCACAGACTGCAACAGGCTCCAGGCTCTGAGCTGGCAGTCAGCACAGAGCCCGATGCGGGGCTCGAACCCACGAACCGAGAGATCATGACCTAAGCGAAAGTCGGACGCTCAACCGACTAAGCCACCCTCGTTTTGGGTCTTTCTTAGGATTTCCATCCCTCTACTTAACATTGGTTATTCTCACATTTGCTTACTTTATCTATTAGAGTCCTTAGCATATTTAAATTCCCAGTTATGATCATTCTGACAGTCCTGTCATATCTGTTTCTGATGCTTCCTCTGTATTATCAAATTGTGGGGGTTTGGGGTTTTGTTTGTTTGTTTGTTTGTTTTTGTTTTTCACCTTTTGATATGTCTTGTAATTTTTTCTTGATAGCTGGACATGATATAACAGGTAAAAGGCTTTTAGTGAGCCTGTGTCCCTGGACTGTGAGCATCAGAAGTGTTTCCCAGTTTTTTTTCCTTCTACCTTCAGGTGAAACAGGATAGTAATAGTGAGCTGGAATTGGGTACTTTCTTTCCTACAAGACAATTAGTCTCTGATAATACCCCAGCATATTAGGCCCTAGTTAAATAGTTTCTTCTGAGGTCAGACCTTGTTAACAGAACAGAGTTCTCTGGTACATTCAAAATGGCTTCCTTTCTCCTCCCCTTGCAGGAAGCAGGAATAAATGTTTTCTCTGATATTTACTGTGGGAATCTGATTGACTTCCTAAAGGTAAAACAAAAGCATGGAGTCCCCTGGAGTTCTTATATCTCAAGAGTTGACTACAGTGAGCCTGAATTGTCAATATCAGTTCAGCTTTCTGTATTCCAGCAAGGTTACTGCCTCCTGGCACTGGTTTCCTGCAGAGGTTTCTGCTCATGGGCTTCTGCTGTGGTAAGCTGCAATTCTTTTTATCTGTCTGTCTCTCTGGTTCCGGGGCAGCAGTCTGTTCTGTGACCTTACTTCTCTGATGGCTCCAATTAAAGTTGTTGATTTTTCAATTTGTTTGACTTTTTAAAGTTTTTTTGTTTGTTTGTTAAGATGGAATGGAGACTTCTAAGCTCTTTATATACCTAAACCAGAAACCAGAAGTACTCCTACCCCTTCAATATTAGGAAGCATTGAGCATTTTAATAATTTCAGCTTCTTGAAAAAGAGATCTTCTGGTGTCTTCTGATGTGTTCCAGTCTGGGTTCGTTTTTCTTGTGGTCCATGGCTGATATTCTGGAACCTCCCTTCAGCATTATCATGGAAATACCCTCCATCTGCCTTATATGTTAAATTCCACGTTTCCTATATCTTGAGCCTTCTTGTTTTTGTTCTTGATTTACTTCCTCTTTTTGATGAAGTACATCCTCCCATTGTTTGATGATGAAGGATGTTTGAGGAGTATTTGGTTTTAGAGCTTGAATATTTAAAATTATCTTCATTTTACCCTACTACATGATTGAAAGTTTGGCAACTAGAGCTCACTTTCTATCAAAAGGTTAAAGGCATTGTTCCATAGTCTCCTAGTTTGCTTTCTTGATTATTCCATTTAATACATTTAGCAGAAGCTTAAGTGTATGGGTGGTCAAATAAAATCCAGGAAAGCCATCCAAGACCCTCTGTGGAGGGGTGACTGAGATGAGGCGTATGTTCAAGATGCTCTGAGTTGCCTGTCGAAAGAGGACTTCTTCTAAAAGAAAGAAACCCTTCCTTTT